CACATGCATGTGTGCACGGCACGTGTGAGTGACTTGCCGTGTTTCATGTTGCACATATGTGCGGATGGTGTGTACGCGCAATTCCGGTGCTGGGCGAAACGGTAGTTACAGTATGTGAAATCCACCTGGTGGGGAACTGTAGAAACATCACAACTCAATCAATCAATCAATCGGAATAGAGCTGGAAGGGATCTTGGAGGTCTTCTAGTCCAATCCCCTGCTAAAGCAGGAGACCGTATAAGATTTGAGACAACTTCCAGTGATGGAGCATCTGTAACTTCTGGAGGCACATCATTCCACTAGTTAATTGTCCTCCCTGTTAATTCCACATTGCTTCTATCCTTGATCAGTTTCCATCCATTGTTTCTTATGGTGCCTTCAGGTGCTTTGGAGAATAAGTTGACCCCCTCATCTTTGTGGCAGCCCCTCAAATACTGGAATACTGCTATCATGTCACCCCTAGTCCTTCTTTTCACTAGACTAGCCAAATCTTTCTCTAGACTAGCCAAATCTTTCTCTAGACTAGCCAAATCTTCCTCTAACAGTGCTCAAGAATAGTGTGCCTTTCAGGAAATTGATGCTGTGACCCACACTGCATTCTTGTGCTCAGTAATGGTTAGGAGATCTGAAGAAGCTGCTCCAAGAGAGGACCAGATTGATTAGGGAGAAAGAGGAGAAACTGGCAAAGAGCAAAGTGAAGATTGGCGTGACAATAGAGGAGAATAAAATGGTTTACAAGATGGAGAGGCTTTTCTCCTTTCTCACAAAGCCATCCAAATTTAATCAAGGAGTAACCTTTGGGGGAAAAAACCCAATGAAATTTGGAAATTACAACTCCAAACAACAACAAAAAAAACAAAGCAAACTCAACCAGCAGATAAAAGTTTTCCTGTTATGTTCTCCAATGGTTTTCTCACTATAGGGTCATGCCCAAGAAATACCAGCAGATCTTGGCCTTGGTGTTTGCAGTCACAGAGGTCAACAAGGACCTGGTTCTCCTCCCCAACATCACCCTTGGCTTCCACATCTATGACAATCACCAGATTGAGAGGGAGATTTCCTTAATCAGCCTCTCCCTGCTCTCCACACGAGGCCAGATGATTCCAGGTTATCAATGTGACAGGCAGGACCCTCTGATCTCTGTCATTGGAGGTCTCAACTCCAAATCCTCAAGGGAGATGGCCTCCATCTTCAGCATCTTCAAAGTCCCACAGGTAAGGGAGCTCTTCAGATGCAGTTATGGAGTAGACAAACAAAACAAACATACATAGAAGCCAACAATGAAACGAAATGTGCTTTGGGGGACATAAGAGGAACGTGTGATTTAGAGAATGCATGCAATTATTTTATATCTCAAATAACCCAAAAGAGGTAAATAATGACATAATTCTGAAATGTTCCACTTGCTGAGATAAATTTCTTCCTAACTTATTCTTCAAACAAACAGAGTTTTGGTACTGTTTATTGTCTGCATGAGATTGATGCTTTGTCCACTGGGTTTTTGACATGTCACCACATGGCAAAATATGCAACTGGCAGCTCTTCCTAAGAAGGGGAGAAGTTTAAGCCGTCCACTCAAAATGAGTCAGCATGACTGGTGGGGCAGGAGACAACACAGTGGGGACCCTTAAAGTCACCATGAAAATGTTGCTTTGACTTTGAAAGATGAATCTCACTTTCTCCAGTTTGGTGTTGGCTTTGAGGTCTCTCAAGGAAACAGAACGGTTTATCCTTCCTTCTTCCAAATTAATCAGAATGAATCTCCTCAGTATGTGGGTTTAGTCCAGCTCCTCCTGCATTTCCGGTGGAACTGGGTGGGTCTTCTGGCCCTTGAAGATGACAATGGAGAGCGTTTCATCTCATCTCTGATGCCAATGCTCAAGGAGAAGGAGATCTGCCTGGCCTTCACTGAAATGATGACATTGGATTTTTTTGACAGGACAAGGTCGACACTACTTCATATTTTCAAAACCTGGTCTGAAGCTGAAGTGATTGTTCTCTTTGGAGACTCCAGTAGTATTACAAATGTAATGGCGATAATGAACGCTCACAAACAATTGACAAAGACATCATTTTGTAAAGTCTGGGTCTTAACTTCCCATTGGAAAGTTAGTATGATGGGATCTGAAGACATATTGAAAGATATAAATCCCTTCCATGGGTCTCTGCATTTTAGGGACCACACCGGGGATATCTCAGAATTCACCCATTTCATCCTGTCTTTAGACCCATTCAACCCACGAGGAGATGTCTTTCTCCCTCCATGGTGGGAATTGGTCTTTGGCTGCAAGATTCACAAACCAGGCAAGATCCTTCCAAAGCATGAAAAACCATGCACAGGAAAAGAGAATTTACATAACCTGCCAATTTATTTTTTGAAACAATCATGACAGGTGAAAGTTACAATATCTACAATGCTATTTATGCTCTGGGACATGCATTACATGCAATGTATGGATCAGGAGTGCAACGAACAATGATGAGGCTTGGAAGGAGGATCTCAAATGTCCAGTCATGGCAGGTAATCTCTGGGACTTTTTATCCAGTCCAAAGATCCTTATAGAGGATATCATCATGCTTTCATATAAATATCTTTTGAAAAACAAAATGCACAGGTACAGTATACGTGGTACCTTGCTCAATAGTAGTAACTGTGAGAGGGATCTTGGAGTCCTAGTTGACAATCACTTAAATATGAGCCAGCCATGTGCAGCAGCTGCCAAAAAAAGCCAACACGGTTCTAGGCTGCATTAACAGAGCGATAGAATCAAGATAACGTGAAGTGTTGATACCACTTTATAATGCCTTGGTAAGGCCACACTTGGAATACGGCATCCAATTTTGGTCACCACGATGTAAAAAGTTGTGGAGACTCTAGAAAGAGTGCAGAGAAGAGCAACAAAGATGATTAGGGGATGGAGGCTAAAACATATGAAAAACGGTTGTAGGAACTGGGTATGTCTAGTCTGATGAAAAGAAGGACTAGGGGAGACATGATAGCAGTCTTCCAGTATCTCAGAGGCTTCCACAAAGAAAAGGGAGTCAAGCTATTCTCCAAAGCACTTGAGGGCAGGACAAGAAGCAATGGGTAGAAATTAATCAAGGAGAGAAGCAACTTAGAACTAAGGAGAAATTTCCTGACAGTGAGAACAATCAATCAATTACAAGACTTGGAGCCAAAGACAACATTTTTAAAAATGCACATGGTCAATCATCACAGGAGCAAAGGCACATAATGAAATTTAGAGTTTGGCAGTAAAATTTTTCTAGGATAATTGTGGTAAAACTAAATACAAATCCACAATGAAAAAGAGAAACCTTTGTGGTCCTGGGGAAAGAGTGAAATAAATGGTGTCACTCCTGATTAACCAAAATTCCATCAATGGAACTTGTCTACCGTATTTTTGGAGTATACGATGCTCCGGACTATAAGATGCACATACCTTGTTTGGGGAGGAAAACAAGAAAAAAAAATCTGCCTCTGCCTCCCAGCAATTTGCCTCCTTGCAGCAAACAGCCCATTTCAGCTTCAGCTTCAGCACAGCCTGATTAGCACAAGCAGCTGATTGTCAGTTGGATCAGCCTCCTGAAGATCACCTGTTTCAGGCTGCAGGGATTGCCATAGCCTATTGCCGCCTCCGTGCACCCCATTTTCCGGGCGGGCTGGCGGATGGGCAAGGCTACATTTGGTGTATAAGATGTACCCAAATTTTCACCCTCTTTTGGGGGTGTGAGTGTGTCTTATACTCTGAAAAATATGGTAGTTTCTCAGACATACCTCCATGTCCTAAGATAATGGCCAACGAAGAATGGTAGAAGCCATGATCTCTCATCTGTGGCTCTCAGCCAATTGCTCCAATTTTCTTAAGGTGTATTTTTTTTCAGATTCTTTACTATTTGAAGAACGTCCAATTTAACAACAGCGCTGGAGATGAAATCTCCTTCTCAGAAAACGGACTCGGTTCTCCTCGCTTTGATCTTCTCAACTGGATTTTCCTCCCCAATCACTCTTTTGTCTCCACAAAAGTTGGGCAAATAGATCCCGGGGCTTCCCAAGGACAGGATTTCACCATTAATTCAGACGCAATAATTTGGGCCACAAAGGTGAGACAGTAGGAAATGTCGTAAATTCAGGGAAAGATTCATCCTCTCCTGGAAATGCAGAACATCCTTCCAATTTGGAAAACAATCAATTTGAATCCGAAAATATGGCAGTCACTTGGTGAAAAAAATTGCTTTGCATGTAACACATGTGAGGTCTGATTTGTGTCAATCCACAAAGGGTTCTGGATTGAGAAGAACCTCTGCTTGAAAACCCAGGATGCAATTAGAGCAGGCAACAATCATTATCATGGACTATTCCTGTTCAGTTGGATCACTGATGGGATTCAGCCGGTTCGGGCTGATTTGGGAGAACCAGTAATTAAAGCATTTTTTTCTGCAACCTCTTCGGCCGAAGAGGCTATAGAAAAAAATGATTTTAAAAACGCTGATGATCCCAGCTGAGTTGCCTGATCTTCAGAGGCTTTTAAAACCATTTGTTTCTGCAACCTCTTCGGCCGAAGAGGTTGTAGAAAAAATGCTTTGAAAAGTAAAATTTTTTTAAAAGGTTAGCGACGCCCACCCAGTCACATTACCCCCCACACACATCCCAAGCCATGCCCACAGAACCGATAGTAACAAATTTTACATTTCACCACTGCCCATAATCCCTCACGGGGTGGAGTCTGGGCAACTGAAAGGAGCTGAGTGTTTCCTGAGTTATATTCAGCAGATATATTCTCATTGTACCCAGAAAGAGAGAAATATCTGCCTCTACCTAGGATCGAACTCACAGCCTCCTGATTGTGAGGCGAGAGCTCCACCTCTAGGCCACCGCACCACTTGAACGTAGAAATAAGAATATGGAATGGAAATATAATGTGAAATAAATTAACAAAAGATGTCCATCGCTTAGGCCCTCTCAAGTCTTTATCTTTTCTCTTTCAGAAGGTGCCCTTTGCCAGGTGTGGCATGAAGAGGTGCCATGCAGGAGAGAGGAGAAGAGTTCCAGAGGGGGAGCAGGTTTGCTGCTACCAGTGTGACCCTTGTCCAGAAGGGACCATTTCTAATCAGACAGGTAGAGCAGACAACAAACGTAGATATTCAGGGATCAAGGAAGCCATTCAGTAGATCAAAATATATATTTTTTTGTTATTGTTGTCATTTTTGGTAAGATTGACATGTATTCACAGACGCTTAGCAACTGATTCATACTTATGACAATTGCACTGTCTTGGAATGATGCAATTCCATGAAAGAGCCTTGGTAGTACAGTGGTCTAAGGCACCCTGTTATTAAGCTGGTTATTAAGACCAGCTGCCTGCAATTACTGCAGGTTCGAATCTCACCAAGGCTCAAGGTTGACTCAGCCTTCCATCCTTTCTAAGGTAGGTAAATTGAGGACCCAGTTGTGGGGGCAATAAGCTGATTTTGTATAAATATACAAAAGGATGAAGGCTATTGCTGAGCACATTGTAAGCCGCCCTGAATCTCCGGAGAAAGGTGGCATATAAATCAAATTTTTTTTAAAAAAATTCCCTTTTGCGAACTTCTGACAAGCAAAGCCAATGCGGAAGCTAGATTCACTTAACAACCATCTTACTAATTTAACCACTGCACAGATTCATCTAAAGACCATGGCTAGAAAGGTTGTAAAATGGAGAAAAATTCACTTCAGAAATAGCAACAGAAATTTTAGGCTCAATTGTGGTCGTAAATCGAGGACTACCTGTACAAAGCAGAGCACTTAAAGCAGTGATAACCAAAACTGCAGCATTCCTAATTAATACATCTAGGAGTCTTCTGCTGGTTCCAGTATAAAGTAAGGGGAGGAATAATTGGTAGTCTCAGATTAAAAGCCACGGCAATCGTGGAAGTTCCCAATGATTGGAGAGGGACTTTTCCCCCAAGCAAACTGACCAGGAAGCTGGAACTGAACGAATCCTTGTCTCTAGCCCTACTATTCTGACCAAGCTCCCCAAACACGACCAACCCTCTGAAGTTAACTCAAAGATTCCTTTATTAGGAGCGCCAGCAGCCCCGGCAAAAAGTTTCTCTCTCAACACAGGCTAACAAGTCCGTCTGGCCAGAAGATGCCCCATCTATTCATCTCCGCCCCCTGCCTTTTATCCCCAGAGCTAAGATGGGGCTTCACTAGCAGCGGTGGCTCTTCTGTCCCAAGGACCGGCCCATAGATTTCCACTGCTCTCCTCTCCTCTGTCTTCTGCTCATCCGCGTGTCAGGCACTGGACCCAGCTGTTCCTCCTCTTCCTCATCAGCCACCTCCAGCCCTGGGGGCTGTTGACTCTCCCTCAGAGAGCTGACAGAAGGCCCAGACTCCGCCTCTGTCTCTCTCTCTGCCAGCTCCATTCCCTCTTCTCCCTCGGAGCTCCCACGTTGCCTTGATGCTGACCTTGACTCCCATGCCTCCTCCTCCTCTGATTCAGCTGCTGGAGGGGCCGGCGGTCAACAGGCCATAACAGCTCCCTATCCCAAGGATCACCATGAACAAAGGATGATTAGCCTTTTTTGAGTTCCAAAAATTGCACAGTGGGTCATTTCATCACTCCTGTTGTTTGTTGGCCACAGCAGAAAGGGAAGTCATGTCACCCCTGAGGGAGGAATAATGTTCATGCAGATACCCTTGAAATCCTTAGACAAAGACTTTTGATTTCAGATGCAGCTCACTGTGAACCCTGCCCAGAAGACCAATATCCCAACAAGGACAAGGACCAATGCATTGCCAAGAAGATCCACTTCCTTGCTTACCAAGACAGCCTGGGATACACTTTAGTTTCTCTCGCTCTTTTTCTCTCTCTGATCACGTCTGCAGTCCTGGTGATTTTCCTAAAACATCATGACACACCGATTGTCAAGGCCAACAACCGAGATCTCACCTACATCCTGCTGGTCTCCCTGCTGTTTTGCTTCCTCTGCTCCTTCCTCTTCATTGGTCGACCAGGGAAGATCACCTGTCTCTTCCGACAAACTGCCTTTGCCATTCTCTTTGCCCTGGCAGTTTCCTCTGTGTTGGCAAAAACTGTCATGGTGGTTCTGGCCTTCATGGCCACCAAGCCAGGGAACAAGACAAGGAAACTCTTAGGAAAACCACTGACCAACTTCATTGTCTTAGCCTGTCCCCTGGTCCAAGCACTTCTTTGTGCCATTTGGCTGATAACTTCTCCCCCATTTCCTAACTTGGATTTTCAGTCACTGATTGGAGAGGCCATCTTGGAATGTAATGAAGGCTCAACTTCAATGTTTTATATTGTCCTTGCCTATCTAGGTTTTCTGGCCCTCATCAGTTTCACAGTGGCCTTTCTGGCTAGGAAATTGCCTGATAGTTTTAATGAAGCCAAGTTCATTACTTTTAGCATGCTGGTCTTTTGCAGTGTTTGGATCACCTTCCTCCCAACCTACCTGAGCACCAAAGGGAAGTCCATGGTGGCTGTGGAGATCTTCTCCATTTTGGCTTCTGGAGCTGCTCTCTTGGCTTGTATCTTTTTCCCCAAATGCTACATTATTCTGCTGAGACCTGAACTGAATTGTAGAGGAAATATAATAAGAAACAAGAACTTCTAAATAATGCAAACATAGACAGCATTTATATTTGAGGCATGTTTAGAATGTTATAAATTTTCCAAAAGATGAAAACATGAAGCAAGGGTGAAATCCAGCAGGTTCTGACAGGTTCTGGAGAACCGGTAGCAGAAATTTTGAGTAGTTCAGAGATCCAGCAAATACCACCTCTGGCTGACCCCAGTGTGGGGTGGGAATGGAGATTTTGCAGTATCCTTCCGCTGCCATGCCCACCAAGCCACACCCACTAAGCCATACCATGCCCACCAAGCCACGTCCACAGAACCAGTAGCAAAAAATTTGAAAGGTAAACCCTTGACAACTGTAGCTTTCATTGCAATCTGTACTTATGCTCTCAAATAAATGATGCCTCTTTTCCAAGTGACTTGCCCCGTGTGTTCTTTGTCTGACCTGGACTGGTTCTGAACCCAGAACTAGCACTGATGATCTTACCTAGTTAGGGTAATGCAGGGGTGGGATTCAAAAATTTCAGCCATTGGTTCGCTGCCTGGTTGCTGGGTGGGCGTGGCCTTTCCTCAAGCCTCCAGGAGGGTGAAAACAGCCTCCTCCGGGCTCTGGAGCCCTCCAGAGGCCAGAAATGGGCCCGTTTCCAGACTTCCGGTACTTCTGGTAGGCCCATTTTTTGCCCTTCCCAGAGCCGCCATGCATCCAAAACGGGCCGCATGGAGACTCCTGGGAGGGGAGGGGAGGGGTGGTTGGGGTCAGACGATCCTTGGAACAACCGGTTCAGCGAACCAGATTAAAATTAATATCCGGTTTGCCAGAACTGGTCCGAATTGGCTGAATCCCATCCCTGGGGTAATGAAAACAAGCAGGCTCAGAGATCGCCAACATCTCTCCCCCAGAACTTTCTTCTAACAGGATCAAACTCTCCACAAAACTAAATCTATATATAATTCTACTGTCATCCCAGGTGCAGCTCAGAAATTGTGAATCCCACTTCCAACATGTTTGAGAGCTGGGTCTGCCCTCTTCTCTGTGAGGGACCTTGGAGTCCTAGTGAACAATCAATTAAATATGAGCTAGCAGTGTGTAGCAGCCATCAACAAAACCAATACGATCCTTGGTTGTATAATTAGAGGCATAGAATCAAAATCACATGAAGTATTAGTATCACTTTATAAAGCCTCAGTAAGGTCACACCTGGAATACTGCACCACATTGCAAAAAAGATGTTGAGACTTTGGAAAAATTGGAAAGAAGAGCAACTAAGATGGTTAAAGGCCTGGAGGAAAAAACATATAAAGAACGGTTGCAGGAATTAGGTATGGCCACTCTAGGGAAAAGAAGGACTAGGGAGGACATCAGTGGTGAAATCTGAACCGGTTTACTAGCGGTTTGCTGGCTGCACCTGCGCACCAAATGCATGTTGCATGCGTGCAGTGAGCATGCCCAAAGGAGGCATGGGGTAAGTAGAACAGCGCGGGGGGTGGGTGATCAGCTGTGGTGCGCAATTTTCGGAGCCTTTTTTTTTACTTTTAAAAGCATTTTTTTACAACCTATTTGGCTGAATAGGTTGTAAAAAAGGCTTTTAAAAGGTTAAAAAAGGCTCTGACGATCACGCACCAAAGCTGTGATTGTAGGAGCCTTTTTTAAAAACTTCTCCTCTCCATAAACTCCACTCCCTTCCAGCACTGATGATGTCACCTACTTTGGTAATGAAACGTCTGCCAGAAAACAAGCAAGCTCAGAGAACACCAAGGACCCCACAGTCGTCATTATCTTCCTCCTCCTCCTCCTCCTCCTCCTCCTCTCCATAAACCCCACTCCTTTCTAGCACTGATGATATCACTTAGTATGGTAATGAAAAGTCTGCAAGTAAACATCAAAGCTCAAAGAGTACTAAAGACCCTACAGTTGTCATTGCCTTCCTCCTGCTCATCATCATCATCATCCTCTTCCTCCTCTCCACAAACCCCACTTCCTTCTAGCATGGATGATGTCACCTAGTATGGTCATGAAATGTCTGCCAGAAAACAACCAAGCTCAGAGAGCCCCAAGCCCCCCTCAGTTTCATGCTAAATCAAATATCCAACTTCACCTTCGTTCTCAAGTCCATCTCTGTGGATTAGAACAAGAGACACAAACATGTTTTTCCTTTTCTGGTATGCTAAACAAATCTAGTAATAATTAGGTAGGACAATGGCTCTTCTTTGCAATTATCCATGGAACTGCCATTCTTATTCCCTGTGGGTTTCTATTCACAAAAATCTTCCCAGATAAAATCTGCTTTAAAAAAATAAGCCTGGAGTTCCCCAGGTGGGGTGGCAGGACATGTGTCACCTCACCTTGTCTTGCAAAGAGCTCACTCCTGGGTTGGATGAGACTTAGCTGGCCTTAGCGTTGTCTTCGGTCACAGCCCAAACACTTATAAGGGGAAGGATGGTTGATATAAATTTTGCCACAAAGCCATCCAGGTGGAACGACCTGCCTCTGTTGTGCTAAAGCTGTGATGAGATTTCAAGTGCTACCTGCAATTTACCTTCTGCACAAACCTAGATTTCTGATCTTGGAGGGAAGGTGAGAAGAATGACTGGGCTGCCTCTCCTGCTGCTGCTCTTTTGGCTCTTGCCTCCAACTTCTTCCAAGAGGATGCAAAGTGTATGTGTGTTGACAAGGTCTCTGCAGATTCCGGAGGACTATTACAGGCCTGGAGATCTCATTATTGGTGGGAATTTGCCCCTGGCAACCACTGTTTTTTCCCCCAACAACCTACGCTTTCAGAAAGACCCGTTCCGACGTCTCTTACCAATTGCGTAAGTTTTACCTGGATGGAGGGGGAAAATGTAGATAAATACTTCATTTCGTTTGGATTCAGGGACCCTTTTAGAAAGACTGGTCCTTGTGAGGTTTGCATTGTCCAAGTGCAGACTTTCTCATACTTTGCTTTACCACTTAATTCCTTTTGTGGCCATGGACTATGGCCACGGAAAACCCCCTCCCCTCCAAGATTTACCTTTGCAGATCCCCTGTAGTGTGAGTGACTTGCCGTCTTTCATGTTGCACATATGCGCGGATGGTGTGTACGCGCAATTCCAGTGCTGGGCAAAACGGTAGCTACAGTATGTGAAATCCACCTGGTGGGGAACTGTAGAAACATCACAACTCAATCAATCAATCAATCGGAATAGAGCTGGAAGGGATCTTGGAGGTCTTCTAGTCCAATCCCCTGCTAAAGCAGGAGACCGTATAAGATTTGAGACAACTTCCAGTGATGGAGCATCTGTAACTTCTGGAGGCACATCATTCCACTAGTTAATTGTCCTCCCTGTTAATTCCACATTGCTTCTATCCTTGATCAGTTTCCATCCATTGTTTCTTATGGTGCCTTCAGGTGCTTTGGAGAATAAGTTGACCCCCTCATCTTTGTGGCAGCCCCTCAAATACTGAAATACTGCTATCATGTCACCCCTAGTCCTTCTTTTCACTAGACTAGCCAAATCTTTCTCTAGACTAGCCAAATCTTTCTCTAGACTAGCCAAATCTTCCTCTAACAGTGCTCAAGAATAGTGTGCCTTTCAGGAAATTGATGCTGTGACCCACACTGCATTCTTGTGCTCAGTAATGGTTAGGAGATCTGAAGAAGCTGCTCCAAGAGAGGACCAGATTGATTAGGGAGAAAGAGGAGAAACTGGCAAAGAGCAAAGTGAAGATTGGCGTGACAATAGAGGAGAATAAAATGGTTTACAAGATGGAGAGGCTTTTCTCCTTTCTCACAAAGCCATCCAAATTTAATCAAGGAGTAACCTTTGGGGGAAAAAACCCAACGAAATTTGGAAATTACAACTCCAAACAACAACAAAAAAGACAAAGCAAACTCAACCAGCAGATAAAAGTTTTCCTGTTATGTTCTCCAATGGTTTTCTCACTATAGGGTCATGCCCAAGAAATACCAGCAGATCTTGGCCTTGGTGTTTGCAGTCACAGAGGTCAACAAGGATGTGGTTCTCCTCCCCAACATCACCCTTGGCTTCCACATCTATGACAATCACCAGATTGAGAGGGAGATTTCCTTAATCAGCCTCTCCCTGCTCTCCACACGAGGCCAGATGATTCCAGGTTATCAATGTGACAGGCAGGACCCTCTGATCTCTGTCATTGGAGGTCTCAACTCCAAATCCTCAAGGGAGATGGCCTCCATCTTCAGCATCTTCAAAGTCCCACAGGTAAGGGGGATGCAGTTATGGAGTATGGAGTATGGATGCAGTTATGGAGTTATGGAGTAGACAAAAAAAAAACATACATAGAAGCCAACAATGAAACCAAATGTGCTTTGGGGGACATAAGAGGAACATGTGATTTAGAGAATGCATGCAATTATTTTATATCTCAAATAACCCAAAAGAGGTAAATAATGACATAATTCCGAAATGTTCCACTTGCTGAGATAAATTTCTTCCTAACTTATTCTTCATATAAATGTATCCAGAGTTTTGGTACCGTTTATTGTCTGCATGAGATTGATGCTTTGTCCACTGGGTTTTTGACATGTCACAACATGGCAAAATATGCAACTGGCGGCTCTTCCTAAGAAGGGGAGAAGTTTAAGCCTTCCACTCAAAATGAGTCAGCATGACTGATGGGGCAGGAGACAACCCAGTGGGGACCCTTAAAGTCATCATGAAAATGTTGCTTTGACTTTGAAAGATGAATCTCACTTTGTCCAGTTTGGTGTTGGCTTTGAGGTCTCTCAAGGAAACAGAACGGTTTATCCTTCCTTCTTCCAAATTAATCAGAATGAATCTCCTCAGTATGTGGGTTTAGTCCAGCTCCTCCTGCATTTCCGGTGGAACTGGGTGGGTCTTCTGGCCCTTGAAGATGACAATGGAGAACGTTTCATCTCATCACTGATGCCAATGCTCAAGGAGAAGGAGATCTGCCTGGCCTTCACTGAAATGATGAGATTGGATTTTCTTGTCATGACAACGTCGAAATTACTTCATATTTTCAAAACCTGGTCTGAAGCTGAAGTGATTATTCTCTTTGGAGACTCCGGTAGTATTACAAATGTAATGGCGATAATGAACGCTCACAAACAATTGACAAAGACATCATTTTGTAAAGTCTGGGTCTTAACTTCCCATTGGAAAGTTAGTATGATGGGATCTGAAGACATATTGAAAGGTATAAAGCTCTTTGACGGGTCTCTGCATTTTAGGGACCACACCGGGGATATCTCAGAATTCACCCATTTCATCCTGTCTTTAGACCCCTTGAACCCCCAA